TCACGGTTGATTGAGAACCATTCCAGGCCCTCTTCTGACAACAGATTACAAGTTTTATAGGAAACATTTTACATCAAACTGCTTAGTTATCCGTTGTTGCCATTATCATTAATTCGGAAATTCGAAAAGCAGACACTATGGAACTTCCGTAAACTGTAACAAGATTGCTAGAAATTCGAATCGTCTCTAGGTATTGAAAAACGATGTGTATACCTCAGGTGCATCAAATGGTGCAACAAGATTTGTTGACAAACTCGTCGCCATCAAATTGCACGTGATTTATGCTTTTTAGCGTTTTTCCTACGTGACGTCATACATTTTATGGTTGAGTAATGTGGTTGCACACTGATTTTGGTGCATAGTAACTAAATTTCTCATCTGACCAAATTTCTTAATTTTCGGACATGCGGTCCAAAATATTTCGAATATTATGTTACCCTGCGTTTCTTTTTTCTTTTTGTATATATTTCACAGTTGAACAGATCAAAGGGTTCATGTTTATTAGAGTCTTATCAATGCAACAAAATGATAAAATGACACTTGTAAAAAAAAATTCAATGAGGGATGGGGGTTGGGGGTGGGGGTGGGGGGTTCCCGAACACCCCCACCCCAATCCACCTGAATCCGCCACTGGTTTATTTCCGGACACTACAACCCCTTTTGGTGTTGTTTGAATTTCAGTCGTTAAAGTTAAGTAATAAAAGAGGAGTTTGCGTTGGCGATATTGAGCCCCGGTGAAATCAAACGTGGATTTCATTTATTTTCTTTCTGAGACGTTATGTTTTTTGTAAATACTTTAAATAGTATATTATACAAATACCAATATTGGTGCAGTCAGTATCAAGACCTACGAAGGGTGATCAAAAAGTTCGCAAACTAATTACATAACTTCCAAAAACGAAATGATATTGTGTTTCAGTGTTGAAAATTTTTCAAAGTACATGTAGTCCTCACTAATTTGAGTGCAATCGTTCTGCCCATGCGCGGATCACGTGATGTAGGCGGTCACGTGACATGTTCCTTAGCGTTTTGTCACAAAAGCTTAAATTTTTTTCCAACTCTTTTATTTCTTACCATGCAACTGCAAGTTCTCGGTCTTTTGAGCGTCGTTTATACCATTTTGATAAAGTATGGGTACCTTCATTTTATCATATCTTATAGCGAGCACAGCGAGCTCAATAGACTAACGTTTAAGAACAGACGAAATTCGGAATGAACTCTGTACACATCTGATTTTGATGACAACAGACGGATCTTATCATAATTTTAACTGTTTTCATGATAACGAGCCATTTTCATTGCTTAACTTTAAAATTTTCTGACAACGGTGCCGTTTTGGAACTTAGCGTGTTCCTGACCGTGCAGTTTCACCATGACAGAAATGTACATGTATACAAGATATGATTTCATAGATTCGGTCACGCTATAACCTCTGACCCCCCTAATAAGTGTATACAGAATTAAACACATTTTCTTTTCAATAATTTCATCAAAGAAAAGTATTTGCAAATGTGAATATTTTATCATAAACAGAGAATTCCTGAACTAGAATGCTGAATATCAATGTAAACATTCAAATGATGTTGCGAGGCGAACTTTCAAAACCAAACAACTTCTAGGTCATTGCGCGTCACAACATTGCAATACGGCGGCCTGTTCGTGTAATGCATGCAGTTTACTCGAAATATTCGTCTCAAAATGAACTTTGGTTGGTACGTGATCAAATCTACTGAGAAGCTCTTCGGGCTTTACAGGATTTGATCACGTGACCAACCAAGTTCATTTCCCAGAGAACTTTTTAACATTGTCGTTTATTACTTAATTAAATAACTTACGTACAACTTTGCGAATAGCACATTCATATAAAAAGAAATAAAACTTTCTGAATAAACAATTTCATCAACCCGCTTAAAATCACCATATTTTATTATATTACAGACATTGCCGCTCCCAGCTCACACACCTTGTAATAATTGATATCTTAATTAATAATTGATTACTTAAATTAGCGAGACTCTTTTGCGATGGAGGTAGGAGACGTCTGTTGGATGGGGGCAAATGTGCTATTCAATGCAGTGCAAGATCGACCAGTGTAGAATTTATAAGGACAGATAAGTGAATAATCATGGTGGAATACCTTACTAAAAAATCGGTGAATTCGCACCAGCTTATTTAAATTTTGAGAGGAGCTAATCCTAAAATGTTACATTTTTATAGATATTTTTAACTAAGCGGACTCTTCTAATGAAATATTCATAGAAAAATCGTTACATTTCAAGCTGATAAGTTTTTTGACTATCTAATATTTGGAGTTCAATTCTTGGCAATGCATTGTACTTTCGGCAAAAAATGCTCGATCATTCGATTGTCACTATTGTAAAACAATGTCATGTGCCCCAGAAATGTTGCGAGATTTAGAGCTTTTTCAACTTCCCCGCAAAAGACCGGTAGTAAGTCAGATAAGTGCGAGGTACTCGGGATATTACGTGTTACACTTGCATTTAGTACATATTTTCTTATTTTTGTTTTCATCAGTAGAAAATGTTGTACAGGGACGTAGCATCCGGGGGGGCCAGGGGGGGCCTGGCCCCCCCACTTTTTTCGCCAACATAACCTTTACTATAGTACATGTTCATTGATAGGATGGTTGGCCCCCCACTTTATAACCATAGTAAAGTGATAGGAACTGATAAGAAGTTGGCTTTGAAAAAGTTGGCCCATCCCCCCCCCCCCCCACGAAATAGGATTTTCGAGTTTGGGCAGGTTCTTTTTTTTTTTTTTTTTTTTTTTTGCTTGTCAACTTTTTCAGGTAAGTAAAAAAAATTTTTCTCAGGTTGGCCCCCCCCCCACTTTCAAAAACGATGCTACGTGCCTGTTGTAAATAAAATATGTTTCATTTGGGACACTCTTTGTCCTGTTCATGATTTGTAATATTTAAAAGCATTTGTCTGATTGATATCTTTTCAATATCAATCCATAGGCGTCGGAACCTGAGGGCTGAGGGGCTTACCCCCTTTAAGCAAAGATTAATATAATATAGGCATTAAAAATTGGGGCTAACCCTTTGTTGCTCTAGCCCTAGCCCTATCCCACCCCAATATCCCACCCCAATTTTCAAGTAGCCACCCCACTTACAATTTGCTTCCGACGTACATGCGATCTTAACCTTTTTCTAATGTTTATGTTTTAGAAACAACCACATTGACAATAAACAAACACTGCAAGGATATGAGTGACTTATATGTTGAAATATCAGCATTTAAAAGAGCAAAGGAATTGATTAAAGCAAATGGTTATGTCGTACTAAAGGGCAATCCAGGATCTGGAAAAACAACAACAGCCCAACATTTAATGAAACATTTCATGGATATTGGAAAATCTCCATTGAAGCTTTACAATGTTGCAGATATATATGAACAAGTAGCACCCAGTGATAATAAGGTGATTTTCATTGATAATTTGTTTGGAGCATTTTCTCTGTGCAAGAATGAAGTTAACGATCTCAAATCGCACAGCGAGAATATTAAGGTTTTGTTCGGTAATATCTATAATACTGACTGTGACAAGAAGTCTAACATTTTAATATTAACAATAAGAAGTGATATATACATGGAATATGACCGTCATACAAGAAATAAGGGATTTCTTCAATCGTCCATGATTGACTTATCAAACGGTGATTACGCATTGAAAGAAAACGAAATTTGGTCGCTTGCAGAAAAATACAGTATTACCCAACATTTGAAAAGATGGGAAACAAGCCACAGAACAATTGAGGTGTGTTTATCGATAGGTTTTCCTCAATGTTGCAAGTATGCAAGAGACAATTCTAAATCTAAAGAAGGTAAAGAAGACATATCAGGTTTTTTTCTAAATCCTCATCAGCACCTAAGAGATTACATGGAAAACCTTATACAGGAAAGATCTGCAAAGACGGCTGTCCTTTTGTACATTCTTCTTCATGGTGGAAATGTGGACTTTAAATTGATAGATAACTCTCACAAGGATAAAGAGAAAAAAGAAGCTTCCTTAGATTTACTTGGTTTAAAAAACACATATTTTAAAGAGTTTCAGGACAACGTGAATTGTTTTGATAGTTTTTTAACAATTCGGGATACGATAGAGAATACCTGTAAATTTTCGCATAGCTCTGTTCAAGACTCACTTTTTTACGTATTTATCAAATACATGCCTAAAGAAATAATAGAGCATTGCCATCATTCCCTTCTCCTGATGTTGACAACAAGTGAAATTCCAAACAGCTCACAAGTAACAATTGATAAAGATTTTTTTCATGTGGTTGCGATCCGCATTGCGAAGATTGTTAGTGAAAAGTCCATCTCGGGATATGTTTCAGTGTCCTTATTGGAATTATGGAGCGATTCAAAATTCCATGAATACATTTCAAACACAAAAGAATGTACTAGAAATTTTAAGAATTGCCGTGACTTAAACGGAGATTCAATAATGATACACTTTGCAAAAGCAGGAAATAAGAGTTGGGTAGAATACTTGCTGCCGAATTCAGACAATACTCAACGATATAGATCACTAAACGCAGCTTGTTTAAAAAATCAAACTAATATCGTTGATTTTATTTTGTTGCAAGGGGTAGAGCGAGATTTGAAAACGTGTTTCAATGCAGCGCAGAGTGGTAATTTAGATTTACTGATGCAGATATGTGAATCTGTTGATCTCCATAACATCAGCGCTTCCATACATCCAAAATGGGGTCGTACTCGACACAGTTTACTTCAGGAAATTTGTTACATGCGAAAAAAACAGATCGTAGAGCAAGTTTTGAAAAAATATCCGTTTCTTGTAGATTTAAAGAATGACCAAGGCGCTAATGCTTTACACTCTGCAGCAAGTTCTGGAGATATAGCTATCTTTGAGCTGCTCTTAAATTATAACTTAGATCCTTACGAAAAAGATACTAAAAATGGACATACAGTTCTTACGTGTGCATGTCAAGGAGGAAAACTAGAAATGATGAAATACCTAATTAAAATGTATCCCATGTTGGTCCAAAGCCATACTGATATGCAAGAGAAAACGTTGCTGCATTGGGCTGCTTTTTCTGGACAAATTGCTATGTTTGAATATGTATTACATTTATTTGAAAATGATAAGAAAGTCACTTTAACAGATTCTCAAAAACCTACTATAGATAGAAAAAATTCTATGGGTGAAACAATCCTTCATACTGCATGTTCTGGTGGTCATGAGGACTTAAGTAAACATCTAATAAACAGGTATCCTCATCTGCTAAAAGTCACGGACCTAAGGCTTGAAAATGTTCTTCATAAAGCAGCAAGGGGTGGAAGCTTACCTCTTTTCCAGTTTCTATTGGATAAAGATAAAGATTTAAGAATTGACGAGAAAACAAATAGTGGAAGAACTGTTTTGCACATGTGTTGTTTTGAGGGTAGAAAAGATATATGTAAATATCTTGTCAATAATTATCCCTGTTTATTAGATATCACTGACTATTATGGATGGACAGTTTTGCATGCAGCCTGTCTTGGTGGAAATGTTGACATAATTGACTTCCTGGTAGCAAAAGGCATGTTTATACATGAACTACCAAATGATAAAGAAAGTGCCCTGTACATCGCTTGTAGGTATGGTCAATATCCTGTGTGTGAGTACCTTATACATAATTATCCCCAGTCGCTAGATGTCATGGACGAAACTATTTCTGTTTTACACCGCGCAGCCTGGGAAGGTTATATTGACATCGTTAATTTGTTGGTTGAGAAAGGATGGGACGTCACATCTGTAACAAGAACTGGAAACACAGTTTTACATCTCTGCTGTCTCAATAGTCAAATAGAAATGTGCCAGTATTTGATTAATAATTATTCTAATTTATTACGTGTTAGAGACGATAAAGGTTGGACAGTACTACATTCAGCTTGCAAGGGAGGAAACGAAGAAATAGTTTCTTTATTGATAACAAAGGGTATTGATATCGATGCATTGACAAAGGATAGTAAAAATGCTTTGCACATTGCTAGTCTTAATGGTAAATATCAAATCTGCCAGTACTTAGTCAATAACTATAAACATTTATTGAAAAACAAAGATAAGTACGGTAATTCAGTTTTACATTGTGCAGCAATGGGAGGTGATGTTAATGTCTTAGAGATGTTGATTAAATTTGGTTCGAACATTAGCACGCTTACAAATGAGGGAGAAACAGTTTTGCATGTCTGTGGTCTACATGAAAAGATGAAAGTGTTTACATATCTAATCGACAATTTTCCTGATTTATTGGAAGTAAAAGACAAATATGGATTCACAGTGTTACATTCAGTTTGCAAAGGTGGGAATACAGAAATGATTCCCTTACTTATCACAAAGGGTTTAGACATTCTTGAGTTGACAAACGACACACAAAATGTTCTCGAAATTGCTTGCCTAAGAGGTAAGTATGATACATGTGAGTACTTACTAAAATATCATCCACAATTACTGAATGTTAGAGAATCTCTTCTACATAGCACAGTTATCGCTGGTAATGTTGAAATAGTGAAATTGCTAATTGAGAAAGGGATTCACATCGAATCTTTGAATAACAAAGGTGAAACAGTTTTGCACGTGTGTTGTCGTAGAGGTAAAATAAAAATGATAAATTATCTTGTCAATAATAATGAAAATTTATTGGATATCAAAGACCCTGATGGAGGGACAGCATTACATTCAGCTTGCAAATTTGGGGATAAAAAAGTTGTCTCCCTTCTGATCAGGAAAGGTGCAAATATCAATTCACTGACTAAATCTGGTAAAAGTGTTCTCCATAATGCTTGTTTGAATGGTAAGTTTGATGCTTGCAAGTATCTAATTGATAATTATCAACAAATACTTAATGTCAAGGATAAGCTTGGGAATACTGCCTTACATGATGCAGCCTTTGGAGGCAATGTCGAAATCGTAAAATTATTGATTGAAAAAGAAATGAATGTCAAAACGCTACGAAACAATGGAGAAACAGTTTTACATCTATGTTGCCGTGGGGGTAACCTTGACCTTTGTAAGTATCTGCTTAATAAGTATTCCTTCTTACGAGAAATCAGGGATAATGAGGGATGTACAGTATTACATTCAGCTTGCAAGAGTGGAAATGTAGATTTGTTCTCTTACCTTGCTGCAAACGGTTTGGATATCAAAGCATTGACAAAAAATGGCGCAAATGTACTCCATATTGCTTGTCTTCATAGCAGTTATAAAATTTTTGAATATCTATTTAATAATTGTCTACAGTTACTGGATATCAGCGACAAACAAGGACGTTCTGTTTTAGATAATGCGGTCATTGGAGGAAACATTGCCATTGTAAAGAAGTTGATTGATAATGAGTTAAGCGTTGGATCTGTACGAAAAAACAACGAAACGCTTTTACATTTTTGTTGCCGTGAAGGTAAATTAAAAATGTGTAAGTTTCTTGTCAATAAGTGTCGTCATTTGCTTCTTCTAAGGGACAAGCAAGGGAAAACTGTGTTACATTCAGCTTGTGAAGGGGGAAGCGTTGAGACTTGTTCTTTTCTACTTGAAAAAGGTATGGACATTAATGCAGTTACAAATGGACATGAGAGTGTTCTTCATATTGCTTGCCAAAATGGCCAATATGACTTGTGTGGTTTCTTAATCGACAAATTTCCTAGTTTACTTAGATTTTTGGACAAAGATGGTAGATCAGTTTTACATGATGCAGCCATGGGTGGTAATATCGATATTGTTAAGCTTTTGATTGGGAAATGGATAGATGTCAGAAATGCAGATGAAGATGGAGAAACAATATCTCATTTCTGTTGTAGCCATGAGCATTTGACGATATGTGAGTATCTTGTCAATTGCTATTCAGATTTACTACATTTAAGAGATCGTAAAGGTTGGACAGTGTTACATTCAGCTTGTAAGGGTGGAAATGTAGAAATAATCTCATATCTTGTAGATTGTGAAATAAATATTAATGATCTGACCAATGATGGAAAAAGTGTTCTTCATATTGCTTGTCTTTATCATATGTATGATGCATGTGAATTTCTCCTTATAGAATATCCCCACCTCTTGGATGTTGAAGACTGTAATGGTAATACGGTTTTAGAGTCAGCGTTTGAGGCAGGGGATATAGATATAATATGTTTTCTTAGCAGTAAGAAAAATGTTAACAATATTGCTTAGAGATTCGAAATTATGTTAAAAAGTTTATATGAGTTACTAGCACACTATTCAAAAATGACACCCTTTCAGATGATATCCTTTCGTTGATAATATTAAAACTATATATTGTGAAAGCTAAACAAAAAACAAAACATAGGAAATTACTACTTTTTGTGTGTGGAAAATATACAAACTGGATTTTTAAAATTAAATTGTGCTATTAATTTATTTTTATAAATGCTTATAAGTGTGGTTATGTTTGGTAAATGATGTATTGATCATTAAGTGTATTTCAGGTATATATGGGTATATGTAAACAATATAAATATGGTTAAAGCCTACATTTGTTATTAAAAGTTGGCTCTACAATTTTCTTGTATATACCAGTGTATAACCCTTATGTTACTATTCAATTTAGGAAGTTGTTGTATTTCATAAATTACTTAATGTTTAAAATATTGATATAAGTAGAGAGAGAGAGAGACATGCTTCATGTTTATATTTTATAATGTTCATATCACCAAAAATAATAACCATGTTCTTTAAATTATTAATAATGACCAAAATATTATATTTTTGTGTAGTTATAAGTATATGATGCAAAATGAATTTCAAAATTATCCTTTGAATGCATGACACTTGTGCATCATAATTTGCGTGTTTTTCAATGGTACGGATAACCTTAGGCGCCGGAACACCTGGAATCATCTCTATTCCACATGTTTGTATTTAATTTACATTGATGTTGTACTATCTCAATAAATGAAAGCATTAAAATTTGATTTTTGGCTCACCTCAACGACGTTGTGATACCTTAGGTGTCGGCGTCCAAGTTTTAAGTTTTTGGTGCAGTTTTTAAAGTATCTTTATGCCCTACATGAATCAGATATGCATGAAGGATGCTTCTAGTGTGTTTTATTTTTACCAACCAAGGTTTCAGATGCTGCAATTTCAGCAAAGAATTGACCAGTTTGATGTTTTTGGGACAGGTTAATGTTTTGGCTCGAGTCTCATTTCCAAGTAACTATGAGCCCTATGTTACCCAAACTTGCAAGGATGCACGCTACCGAGCTTGCTTCGGATGCTTGATCTGATCTTTCCGGTGAACAGGTTTAAGGTTTTTTGCAGGTAACATTTCCAAGTAACTATGAACCCTATGTTGACCAAACTTGCATAACTGATACATCTAAGGATGCACACTACCGGGCTTGCTTCAGATACTGGATCTAACATATATTTTCTGGATGAGTGAACGCTCTCAAATTGGCTTCAGGCGCTGGGTTTTAAGTACATTTTCTGGATGAGTGACTAGTTAAAGTTTTGGATAAGTCTATTCCAGACTCACTATGAGCCCTATCAGATAAAAATTGCAGTGATGTCGGATCTTGGGATGTACTCTTCTAGATTATAAGTTTAATATGGGACATATCCTAACTTAAAGACAACATATGTTGAGGTGAGCTCTGTAATTTCTAATTACTTATGTTTTATTGTACCTTCATAGTATTTAGAAATGACTTAATTTCATTATTATCTATTTTTATCTTCAATACAATAATATTGAAGTTCTATATGGACATTTATTGTATTAGTTCTAAAATCAATAATAAAGTCGATAACTCCTATTGCCTCAAATTTTTCACTTTCATATCCATTTCACACAAATTTGCGTTTTGGTCAGCGTTTTCTAAGGGGGTCTAAGGTAATTTTTTTCGTGCTTTAGTAACCTTGCAAATTCCGGGGGGTGGGGGGGGGGGGGGTCCTCTAGATCCGCACATGGTGGTGAACAATAGGTTGTTCCTGTACCTGATCAAGATCTGGCTCAAATATTATGAATCAATTTAAGATTCATTCAAAAATCTGTAACTTGTGTCTATAGTTATATGAATCTATAGTTATCAAATCATTAACTACAGTTTACAGTTCGTAAACTATAGTTTACAGTTCGTAAACTATAGTTTACAGTTCGTAAACTATAGTTTACAATCCAGAAACCCAGTTAATCAACTGTTCAGTTAAGGGCGGATGCATTGATAAATATGAAGTTGACATTAGATTCACACAAAAACTAGATAACATTTAGATGGTGGCCATCTCGAAGGGTCCCGCTTTCAACAACAAACATGAAAAGGTAGCTGGGAAGGGTTTATTTTGATGAGGATGAACATTTGTGTACTGCTCCACACCCTCTATCAAAAAGCATGAATGTTGCATATCATCTATGAAAATTGTTGCATATCCTCTATCAAAATATGGAAGGATCACAAATGCTCAATACCCTTAGACAATTGGTAAATTTTTACCCTTGACCTACAAACTTTGTTCAAGGTCACTGCACCTACAATGACCAGTGGCATCCTGTGAGTGAAGTATGAGCCACATTGGACCAAGGGGAGAGAAGAAATGATATAATTAAGGTCTTTCGTTTTTTGTATTAAAATGAAACAGAATTTATGCAAAATCTTATGCGTGAAAAGAAAAATACACTTGCTGTGACCTTCAGATATATCGACGACGTATTGTCAATTAACAATGGTAATTTTCATTCCTACGTCGATACGATATATCCAGGAGAGCTTGAGATAAAAGATACCACAGAGTCTGACACATCTGTTTCTTACTTGGATATTTTACTTGAAAAAAGACGTAAATGGTAACCTAACAACCACGTTATATGATAAACATGACGACTTTAACTTTTCTATCGTCAGCTTACCTTACTTATGCAGCAATATACCTTTATCACCTGCATACGGAGGTATATATCTCAGTTGATTCGATACGCAAGAGCATGCTCTACGTATGAACAATTTCTAAAACGAGGTAAATTATAGACAAGCAAGTTGATGAAACAAGAAAATCAGCAGTCTCGTTTAAAGTCATCATTTCGTAAGTTCTATGGTCGATACAATGACCTTGTCAGCGAATACAATTTATCATTGAGTCAAATGCTGACTGACGTTTTTCATACCAATTGTTAGTACATTATTTATACACTGAATTGACGACGGATTTTCCGTTATTTCACGATCGTGACAATAGGCACACGGTGGGTGTGACTGGTCAGCAGCTCACTCCTCCATGGCACCTGAACCCACCTCTGATGTTTCAGAGGTTCGTGTTTGCTCTGCTCTTATTTTGTATTGTTTTATGGACTTTGAGATTGAATACTGTTCGTTATCTCCATATCCTTCTTGGCATCACATTATTGCATTTTCTTTGTAGTTTCGAAATATGTCAAACCCACGCGAAACAAAACCGGCAACTTCCAGTTATAAGAGAAAAACTGCATAAATTGAATATCATACTATCCCATAAATATCATTTATAGAAAGAGTATTTGAAATGATTTATGTTTAACTGTTATTCAAAATGCAAATGTTTAGAGTAACGTCAAATATCTTTTTAATATTTACTTCCGGTCACGTGATTTCCTGTCCTCAAAATGAGAGGTTAACATAGCGAGATATCGGAAACGGTAACAGATCAAGACACTAAGCTTTCATGATTAATAAACCTTGAAGAGTGCATGGGCAATAGTTATAAAATTAAATGCGTGTCTGTAGGCACTTCCGGGCATCACAGGAAGTGATAAAAAAAACTTTCTTTGATTTTGAATTTTTTTTTTGCATTACATTATAATTAGTAGTTTTGAAATATGTCAGCCCCACCTGAAATAAGAAAAAGACAGCTTCCGGTTGTAAGAGATAAAAATACACATTTTGAGTATTTTTCTTTCCTATGAATACCTTTTATAGATGAAGTGTTTGAAATGAATTTTAGATATGTTATTCAAACTACAAATGCCTAGAGTAACGTCAAATATTTTTGTAAAATTCACTTCTGGTCGCGTGATTTTCTGTCCTCAAAATGTGAAGTTATCATAGCAAGATCTTAGAAACGGTAATAAGACACTATACTTATAGGAATAATAAACCTTGAGGAGTACGCAGTACATATTGGATAAAATGTGTCGGCCATCACTTCCGGTCCTGACAGGAAGTGATCATAGAAATCGGAAAGTTAGCTTTCCTTTTTTGAATATTTTGTTGCATCATTTAATTGCAACTTATTTGTAGTTTCGAAATATGCTGATTCACCCCAGAAACAAAAATGTCAACTTCTGGTTATGAGAGAAAAACTACATATTTTGAGCATTTTACTTTCCCATAAATTTGCTTACTTATGAGGTATTTGAAAATTTTTTACATATGTTATCAAGACTACAAATGCATTAGCTAAATCGAGAATCTTGGTAAAATACAACTCTGGTAGTTTGTTTTACTGCAATCAGAATCTGAATTCTGTTTTTTAATTCTTTTTCAGTTAATATTATTTGTAAATATCATACATCTGTTTTCGAACATAGAAAAAAATCATTCATACAGATAAATAGAGAAGAACGGAAGATCTTTTTTGTTGCTGTAGCAACAAAAGATTCCAGTTTTTCATATAATTCTGCTAATACCTTAACCTTAGACCTAAAAGCATGGTTCAAGGTTACTGCACATCCTTTACCCATAGGCACTCTGTGGGTGAAGTATGCGCCAGTTTTGGCGAAGGAGAGAGAAAATATGCTCCAGACAAGAATTTAAATACAGAGGCTATTTTTGACCTTGAGTTTTGACTTACAACTTTGTTCAAGGTCACTGCACCTTCAATGACAAGTGGCATTCTTTGAGTGAAGTACTAGTATGAGCATCACTGGAATAAGGGGAGAGAAGAAATGCTCCAGACAAGGATTTTTCATATAATTTTGCTATGACCTTAACCTTAGCCTAGAAACTTGGTTCAAGGTCATTGCACATCCTTTACTCAAGGGCCCTCTGTGTGTAATGTATGAGCCAGATTGGGCCAAGGAGAGAGAATATATGCTCCAGACAAGAATTTTAACAGAGAAGCTATTTTTTACCTCGACCCTTGACCTAACAACTTTTTCAAGGTCACTGCACATCCATTGACCAGTGGCACTCTATGAGTGAAGTATGAGTCACATTTGACCAAGGGGAGAGAAGATTTGCTCCAGTCAAGGATCTTTCATATAATTTTGCTATGACCTTCACCTTAGACCTAAAAACATGGTTCAAGATCACTGCACACCCTTAACCCAAAGGCACTCATTGGGTGAAGTACTAGTATGAGCCAGATTGGGCCAAGGAGAGAGAAGATATGCTAGGGACAAAAGATTTCAGATGGACAGCTAGACAGCTAGATGGACGGACGGACACACTGATCACTGTAGGGCGCTCTCCAAGCGGGGCCCTAGTGAATCCCACCATTTGGCATGCCTCAACAAAGTATGTGTTAAAATTTCAAGCATCTGCAATCAGTAGTTGCTGAGAAAACTTAGACAAAAATTTGTTATGTATGGTACGTACAGACACATGGATAAAAAAGAAGTTGACATCGGATTTGAACAAAAATAAAATCCCACCATATGGCTTGCATCAACAAAGAATGTGCTTAAAGTTGAAAACATCTGTGATGAGCGGTTGCTGAGAAAACTGCGACCAAATATTTGTTACGGACACACACACACAAGGGAAAAACAGTATTCCCCCCTTTCTTTAGGGAAAGGGTACAACAATCAATTTTAAACAAGAGGCCCAGGGGCCACATCGCTCACCTGAGCAACTAAGCTAGGTAAAAGCACAAATCAATTGAGCATTGAAACGTAAAATAAAAAAGTGGTGGGGGGGGGGGGGGTATTTGAACAAACATAAATCTATAGGGTTTTTTTCCGCTTTTATATTGAGGATCAATCACGGCTTTGTTATTCTTGTGAACTTTTTTAACGATTTTTCCTATGTATTCCTACATAAAATCTTGATCACCCACTGTGCAACACCCCACTCTACCCGGGGTCATGTTTTGAACAAACTTGAATCAGTTAAAAACACTACCTGAGAATTCTTCCAAATATAACAATCACAACTTTGCTGTTCTCGAAAAGAAGAATTTCAAAGACTTTTTTGTTATCCTTTTAAAATTTTGATCACCTTTATGGCCCCACCCTTGCCCCAGGGTTCACGATTTGAACAACTTAAATCTACACTACCTGAGGATGCTTTCATATAACTTTGGCTTTGCTGT